ACACTAGAGGGCAGCAGACTACATTACATGGCAGAGCTGTGACGTTCACGCCTCATTTATCTGCCAACATGTCAAAACGAACCACATCCAGATGTGCAAGAGGAGTTTCGATCGACACTTCTCCCAATTATGGATGAAATTATGATCAGCTTTTATAAACATTGGAAAATTATGCTCGAGCTCAATGAAGCCCGTCTTGCGTGTCATATATAAATATTTATTTTGCCAAAAAAAAAAAAAAAAAAAGTTTTCTCTGACATCTGTGCAGTCTGAGACGGGACCTGCGGATGGGAGGGAGGCGGCGTAGCGGAACCAGGAAGTCGGAATGTAGCTCCCTGTGTGTGATGTGATCGTTAGCAGAAATGTGTCAGCCCCAAGCTCACCGCCACCATCCCGCCGTCACCTCTGCTCTGCTCTCAGCCTCCGGCCCTCCTCAGCAAGAGTGGGAGCTCTCGAGGCGAATATGCGCGCTGGTGCGCACGCATTTGCACGCAACACAGATACCCCCTGTTGTCTAATTGGGTTGCCATGGAATGCCCAGATATGTTATCGTGGTGGTCCACTAGTGGAACAAGGGTAAAATGATTCACGAGGTCGGGGAGTGGGGATGGAGGAGGGAGCCTGGAGGATAATGAGACGGGCAAAAGTAGAAGAGGCGGGTGTCAGACCACAGGGCCCATGTGTGGCCATGGAAGGTGAAACCATGGTGGATTAGCAAGAGCTTCAACAAACCAAGACAGTAAAAGAAAAAAAAAATCAGGAGGATTTTAGGAAAAGCGGATTTTGGAAGCCGACTTTGCGCCTAATTTAAAAACGATCACCAAAACCAGTGAAAACAGTATCACTTTGCGGTTTTATGCATTAAAAAGCTCCAGCAATTTCTGTTGTTGATCCGCTTTTGCGCAAACTTTTGCGCATCGCGCGCTCATGTATTTTCCTGCCGATAAAGTTGTGGGTTCAATTCTGCTTTGTTCAAATATTTCCCCAGTGAGTTGTTTGCATCAAAAGAAAGATACTTTCCAGTTGCGGTATGTTAAAATTGACTTCTATAATTCATATTTCTCACATTATTTGACTCTGGCGTTTTAGCTACAGAAAATATCTCGACGTGAAAGTTTTACGTAAACATACATTGCGAACTTTTCTTGCTTATGCTTTTAAATGCATCCTAAAATTTCATGTGAGAGCGCAATCATCCGAGTTATGTCATGATAAAGTGCGCTTTAAATCAAATTCGTTACCCACTCCAAACGTTCCCAATGCAACATATTTGCTGTGCTTCTCCCCTCACCTCCTGGCGCAACTCCTGAGAGCCAAACTGTGGCTGCAGATCTTTTTTCTTTTTTTTTTTTTTTCTTCCTCCACAAGTCTCACAATTTGGTCTGTGGATGCAGCCCATCTAAGGCACACTCCTCCTCATTTAGAGGTCGTGGCTGCGCTGGTGGTTAGCCGCACCAGTCCGCTTCACCTGCCGGTCAGCTTCAGATCCACACGTCCAAAGGAAGCATCAGATCATACACTCAATCCAGGAGGTAGGAGAGGTGTTTAAAACGATCCTGGATGCGTGGATTAGACGTGTCAGCAACAGAACAGTACGACCCGGCATTTGGGTCTCATGCATTGTTCATGCATGCTAGTGTTTGTTGTTGCTGTTTAGTTTTTCTTCTTGCGAAAACTCTGATTTTTTTTTTTTTTTTTTTTTAAGTGGAGTTCATATTGCGCGTGATCAGCAGAATTTCAAAGACATGTCTGTTTTTAAACACAGCCAGATTTATACATTTGCACAAAAACGCAGCGGAACAAGCATCAATGCATGCAGAGAATGCTGCTTAACCAACTGTCTCAGGCAAATTTTACAATATGATTTTCTTCGCTGGGTAAAGTGAAGACAATTTTGAAAATATGTTCGTTTTGTGTTTTAAAAAAAATCTTAATTTTGCCCCTTTTTTGTCCCCCAAAACTCATGGATCCTTGCGATATAACTTCATTTTATTCTCCCCAGTTTGAGATTAATTGCTCAGTTCAAAATTTCTATAAAAATCTTGCTTTTTACGCTCACCCAGCGACATAAATACTGATTGTTACAGTGACAGTTTTGAAGGCGTGCGAGTCGCAGTGAGACGCGGTAATGGAAATCTAAATGTGGGTTGATGGCTTGTAATGCAAACACGTGTATTCATTTCAATTTGTTTTGTGGTGTGTGTGCGTTTTTGTGTGAGTGTGTTCCTGTTCGTTTGTTTTTCAATTTAAAAAAAAGAAGCGCAATGCTCACTTCAGCCTGTTAACATCGCATTATAAGTTTTGTGGTTGTTTGTCTTGATTTTACTGTTTGGTGTTTGTGGATGTATAAAAATGAATTTAAAAAAAACTCTTCTCTATAAATATGTTGTTCTTATAGCTACTGTTTGTTCCCTCCACACTGTTATCTTTTCTTGGTGTGATGTGAGATTTTAAAGCACCAACAAGATACTGCTGCATCTTCATAATGAATATCGTTATTTATTTATTCATTTGTTTATTTAGTTAGTTAGTTATTGCAGATACAAATCTATCATTAAAATGACGTAATATTAGAACACCTGATAACGTAGATAAATGATTATTTTAGTTTATGGAATCTGACTTTTTCAAGATGTGACCTCTCAGTTTCATCCTTTAAATAATTGTTGCACATCTTCACTTGTGACCATTAGACACTAGTTTTTCTCTTTCCTATTTTTTTTCTTTTCTTCAATCATGAATCCAGTAAATTCCTCCAGTTTTCAAACTATCCAGTTATTATTCTTTCGTCGCTCAGTGTAGGAGCTATTTGCGCGCAGGTACAGTGCGTAATGACGCACAATTCCTTCAACTGATGAGCGTAGGACATTATGCTGTTCTACAGATTTCTGAGCTCTTAACAAGCGTGTGTGTTTAGGTTTTTGTTGTGCGTGTGTCCAAAAAGTCAGAGAAAATCTCGTCAGCCAAAAACATTTATTCTTTTAAATGCAGATTGAATAAAATTTAGCATTTTCTGAAATTATCTTTACAAGTAAATAATCTCCATTTAATGTTTCTATTTTTATTTTATTTTTTCATTTGCTTTTCACGATATCGAAATTCTCCACCAGATGTGACGGGTTATTAATGTTCCTGACAGGTCGACTGTTCTTGGAAAACAAACAATTGAGCAAACGTATCGAGAAACACCCTATGACAACCATTTAAAGTTAAATTACCTACAATAAAACAGTTAACCTGCGGGAGTCAGTCATGAAAAAAATTATTAGATTTTTTTTTTTTTTAGAAAGCACAATAAGGTATTCAGTCTAAGCTTAAACCTGTGGCTCTCAGAGGGATCCGCAGTGCAAAACAAGTACAACTTAAGTGGCTCACCACACTAACCTGAAGTTCTGCTTCATGCCAGGTTGGTTGTTCCAATTTCTCCGCTGCTGTTCACTCTAGTTGGTTCATTTTTTTCTGTCCTTTAAGTTATCTCTTGGAAGGAACATTTCTCCTATAGTTGTGCGTAAATTACAGTTAAACATGCTAGCCCATGTTTAACTCAGACATATAACTTTTTTTTAAAACTGTCATAGGTGAGTGTTTACACTTCACTGCGCCTCGCTTTTATTCCCAGACAGTAGAAAAAGAAGCATTTTGTGTGTGTGTGTGTGTGTGTGTGTGTTTTTTTTTAATTGCATAAATAACCCCAATATTTATATACTAATACAAAACCCAACTCCCTGAAATTAATATCCTGTATAATGTTGCACTCGCAAATTTAGACTGATTGTGCTGGCAAGCAGTATTTGGAGATCTGGTGAGGGATTGTTGCCCATAACAGCACATCATCTCTAAATATGAATTAGAGGATCAGATTGAAAAAATAAATAAGACATGGGCTGAAAAACTTAAAGGAATCATTATTTTGGTCATACAAGCTAAAGCTACTCCTGCTCAGTGAACATCACCTCCCTCCTCCTCCCTCATATACCCCTCCTCGTCCTCCTCCTCCTCCTCCCCTCAGTGCTGCTTGCACGTCTCGGACTAGATTTCCGCTTCACAGTGTTTGGTCACTGATGCGCAGTGGACAGTTTCAGGGTGATCGTGCAGAAAGGGGAGCGACAGGAGAGAGGAAGGGAGAAGAAGGAGGTGTCGGACCTGCTCCACTGGGATTCGGCTGCAGCTCGGCGCTCAGTGCTATCGGCGGGCTCGGCTCACAAAAGCGGGACGGAGCTGCAAAATCCTATACATGGCTGTGAGCGGCGTCTCGTAGTTTGGTCCTCTTCGGCTCCACTTGGATGAAATCTGGAAACGCATCACCGAAAAAAGGGAGCATTCATGGGGAGACTCGCCGTGCAAAACGCTCGGGACTGTCTGACTGGAGCATTTGGACGTTTTTAAAGTGGTCTGCCCAGGTTGCAGACTAAAGCGTGTGTGTGTGTGGGGTTTTTTTTTTTTTTTTTGCTTTTTGGCTTTTTTTATTATTATTTTTGCTTTTAGGTAAGCAGACTCTGCTCTAATCGGACTGGGCAGGCAGCTTTGTCATCTTAGTTGCATACAGTTCTCTGCAGAGGTGTAGCTATCAAGCAACCCATGCATTTCATTTTGCATCATGCTGCCGGCTGTGAAACAAGTAAATCGATCAAATATGTGCATTGATTTTGGGGGACAATATGAACAATGCACATCATGCTCTCCAAAATAAATAAAATGTAGCATTTTTACCTACTGGGCTATTCAGTGCAAATCCTGTGATTTAAATCAAGTGTGTTTATGGTATGCGTAAAACCAAAGTTCTCTTTTTATCCTAGATGTCTTTGCGAAACTTAAGTTTTTACCTCCCAATATGAATCCATAGTCTGTAACAACTCGCTTGAAGTAAAAAAGCAAAAACATATATATATATTTTTAACAATAACTGTTTTAACATTCAGTTACGCGTCTTTTTACATCTGCTAACTTCTGAGAAACACTCTGCGTCCTTCCGCTCTTACATGTCTCCCATCGGTCTTCCAGCTGGGTCTGTGTAGTTTCTCGGGGCTCCGGTCATGGCGGACCAGGAGGAGACGTTTGCCGTCCAGAACTCACCGGGAGGTTCGGATTCAAGGGAATTACAGAACGATAATAAACCCGAGAAACAGAACGGGACTTCTGGAAAATCCCCATCATCGCAGACAACTTACATCCAGCAGGTCAGTGTACGTCTCTTTCTGAGTTTTGTTTTGTGGCCTCAGTCTTATTGCTTCAGGCCCTTCACACTTGGGTTTTTAAAGATCGACACCTTATATTCGATGAATAAATACAGCGTTGATCTCATTGGTTTCTATCGAGCTATTAGTCGAAGTGATCGAGGGATTTATCGTAATTTTTTATCTTTTTTCAGCGATGCAATCAGGCAAACTTTTGATTCGCCGGGGGGGGCGGGGGGGTTCTTGTAAATGTATTTCTTCAAACTGAATAAGTAAAAAACATGAGCAGTGCTTTAACATCAAACCAATCACTGAAAGATAATCTGCTGTACTTTGTTGTTATGCAACATTTGAAATACAAATTATACAAGTTTATAAAGTAGCTACATTGTGAACGTCGTTCTTTTAGCAGTTCTTTAGTGGTGAAGGACAGCGTCCTCATTGTAGAGACAGATTTTTTTTTTTCTTTCAAAGTAAAAGGGCCGCATTCTGATCAGTTCTGTTTACATCATGATTCAGGATCCATTCCGGGAAAATCTAAGCAACTTTAACAAGATTTGCAATCATCATTTGTTGCAGGATTACGATTTTGCCGTTATATGTGTTATAGGAGTGTTGGTGCCCCACTGTATGATAGCTTCGCATTGATTTTAAAGTAAAATTAAAATGCAGGACTTCCGGGCAATTGTTGGCAATGTTTTTTTGTTTCGTTTATTTTTTATTTTTTATTATTTTTTTGTTAACGATAAATCCTCAATACCATTCCCCTGCTTTAATCTGTGACATAGTGGAGATTATAGACATTAAGAGGTAAAAACTGAAATCGTATTTATAGCTGAAACCTGATATGTACAGACATGATTTTAAAAAATTCACGAATGATTTTATTTTCATTTAATTGGCATGCAAGACTGTCATATTTATGAATTATTATGTGCGCCTTTAAAGCCCCTTTCAAAAATGTTTTAAAAAATTAAAGGTAACTGTGGTTTTTGGAGGCCTAACTGTGGTTGGAAGGCTGTTTGAGTTGATCAAATTTCACCGGAGATCTATTCGATAAAAATTACATTTTCGCTAAAAATAGGACTTTCGAAAGAGACGCAAGAAAACTTACTTGGAGAGCATGTCTGCCTCTCTAATGGATTTACTTTTCTCTTCTGCAGCTGGCAAATTCTATTTTCAAAACAAATTGATATTGGATGTCTTGTGTCCAAAGCCTGTCAATAAAACACTTTTCTTGTTTCCGTGTCACTAGTCTCCTGTCAGACAAGGATTTCCAAAGTAAACCCTTTTGCCGGCACATTAAGCTTTAAATGCGCATGGATGGTGCGCACAATGTGCCAGAAGTGATCCCGCCAACATGAGACGTTTTTTATGTAGCCTTAAAAAATGTATTGTTAGACACACATTCTCCACCAAATTAAACCAGAACAAAAATGTTGAAAGTCAGGCTTGGCTGATCCACGTTCAGACATCTACATCCACCTATGTTTGCTCATTTGTCGTCAATATTCAATCATATTTTCACGATGTTTGGTCGTCTTGCGTCTCTTCAACAACGTTTTGTACGGGAAGTGGATGTTAACAATAGAAGACGCTTAAATACACGATTGTATATTTTTTAAAGGGAATGGAAGGCATAAAGGTCTACCTGCACGAAAGGGAACTGTGGATCAAGTTTCACGAGGTGGGCACGGAGATGATCATAACCAAAGCTGGACGGTAAGATCGACTCCTTGAAAGCTCTGACGACTGTAGTTTTGTTCTGCTTTTCTGTCATTTGATGTAGTTTTAAAGGTGTTTAAATCGTATTTTCAGTCAAGAGAAAAGATAAAAAACAAAACAAAAGCAGCACATCTGGCTGACGCATCAGTGATTCGCAAAACCTCACTCTATAATCATACACTTTTACCTTGGGTGGCCTTTTTTTGTTTTGTGAAATGCAATACCACCAGACAGCGATCCTTCAGAAACTGAACTCTGGTGCAAAAAAAAAAGTTTTCTTTTTTTTTTTTTTTCCTTTTGAATAAAGATCTGTTTTAAGGAAGTTATGCTGTTTTACCCGCTCTGCTGTAATTGCATGCAGACACGTTTCTGTGTCCCAGCTCTTGAGCTGCAGCATGACATGAAGGAGGAGGAGGGGGGACGTTGTGCATGAGTGTGTACCGCTGTCAAGCCCGGAGTGCATCCGAGTCAAAACAGCTCGCAAGGCGTGGTGTGAACATTCATATATGAATGCCGACCGCTGGTGTCCCCCCCTGCGGCATACGGCTCACACATGTTCTGTAAATGATTAAAATAAATAATTCATTGTAGCTGCATTACACCACAGCCAAGGAACATCACAGTTTTTCCATCAGAGCTGCAGAAAAAACAATCTCTCATACATCCCCGTCTGTCATTTGACGTTTGCTTTTGTTAAAAAGAAAGTCTGGATCCCTCCTTGTCCACAGCTTTGTTCTTGATTTGTTGCGCTATGAAAATAATGTTGGACTGTATTACATTTTAGCCTATTGCACTTTTAATCAAGTAGTTTATTTAAAAAAATGTCTAATAAATAGATTTTCCAAATGTTACCAATGAAAATTATAATTTATTCAACCATAGCAGTTTGATTCGTTGTCATTCCATATTTACATGAATGGTAATCTGTTTACAAATGATTTAGCACTGTAAACAAACAAGCAAAAATGTCAGCACTAGAATGAAATACAAAGCTAAACTGTGCAGTAAAAATATAGGAAAATGAAGATAAGGATTAAAATCAAGGTGTAAATGTAGTGTTCAACTGTTTTTTTTAATTATTATTATTATTTAGGCTATTCAAGCTACTTACAAAACATAACTTAGATTAAACTAGATTAAAATGTAACTTTTCATGTTATTTTTAAGATTGTGAATCTTTACTCATTCGCTGTGTATAATGTCCAGCATAAAAAAAAATGTTACTTCCATATTTGTTGAACATAATATTTTAGCAAAGCTTAAAAACTATACACAAATTTGTAGTTTTGTGTGCAAGACTTTAAGTTCACATCCGGCTTTAACTGGTTTACTTTAGTGCTAATGCTAAAGTCAAATTAGTGAACAAGCCCAGCTGTTTACTTTGAGGGATTTGTGGTCAGGAGATGAAGTTTTCTATGTCACCTTATAAAATGAGATGTAAGAAGTTGAAATCTGGCTTTAGCATTAGCAACAGTGCTAATGCTAACGTCAAACTCACTACAAGGCTCAGCCATTCAATCCTGAGGAAGCCATTCCCAAAGACCAGCACATTACAGGTGTGGTTAGCAGGGATAAAGCTTTATAAAGCACATTAATAGAAGAGTTTTAGTTAGTTTAAATCCAGCTTCAACTCACATCCAACTTGCTAGTAAACTGAGCTATTTAACTCCAAGGTGAATGTGGAGAAAATGCTTACATGCCACCAGGGCTGGCCTAAGATTATTCAGGGCCTTGAGCAGAATTTGATTTGTGGGCCAATTCCTGTTTAGGCCATCACCAACAAACAGTGTTTTAATACAGAGTTGGTAGAATCAGAGAGAGAGCAGAGTTTAACTGGCTGAGCTTAAAAGCAGTCAGAGATTGCTGGTTATTAGTTGCAGATTAACTCCTGATTTGTGAGCAAACTGAGCTCAAAAACAAAGAAAAGATTAAACTTGTATCACTAGATTGTGGCTTTGTCAAATCAACAAAAAAACAAACAACGAAGATTATTTGTTCTACCTTTACAAAGTAAACTTGACAATTCTTTTAAATAGTAAATTTAAGCTTTTAAGCTATTTAAAGTCCTTCAGTTGACCTAACTTGAAACCATCAAATCAAATTTAATGGTATTCACGTTCTTAATAAACAAATACTAAAATTTTAGATCTACGGTCTGGTTTAAAATTCAATCATTTAGGGAGTCTCATGCAGAGCTAGCCCGAGCTACCTCGGGCTAGCTCTGCATGACACCTTGCAAGACTTTAAATACAATTAATATGCTAAAGTTTCACAGAGGTTTTACAACTTAATCAAAAACAAATAGTTCTGGGTTCCTTTTTGAAAACAGAGGCCAAACTGAACAAGCTCATAAGACTAAGAAGGAGATTGTTAGGTCTGACTCTCTAACTAGGACCCACCAGAGGTCTGTTGACTTGAGGATCCTCTGCATCCATTACTTGTTTTTGGGCACCTAATGACTGCAGCTGTGAAGCAAGTTTCCAATGTAAATTATGGAAAAATGATTCAAAATCAAGAAGTTTTAAATACATGTCATTATCATATTTACGAACAGCTGATTATGAAGATTCACTTCAAGTTGAACCTTAGTTGTGTCTAAAGTTTAATATAAAATAGAGCAGTTAAAATCTCACAGGGGTTTCAAGTAATCTAGTTATTAGTTTGAGTAAAATGATCTTAAAAACAGAATTGTTTAACTAGTTTGATTTAATAACAGGAATATTTAGCTGTGTTGTAAAATCTTTGCTATGACAAAGATAGCAAAGATTCTATCTACCTTAACTACCTTACTGGTAGTTTTATAAACTACCAGTAAGGTAGTTTATAAAACTATAGTTGACAGATTACAGAATAAACTAACAAATTTACTGTAATTTATCACATCGTTCTTGCTGTATTGTTAATTTATTGTGAGAAAAATGCATTTTTAGCTTCATTAATGATAATTAATGAAAAATATTCCTCCTAATCTGCTTCATTTCAGCATGGAGTTCTGGCTTTTTTTTTTTTTCTTAACTAAATATAATTTTTACTTAAGTACAAAGAACTAGAATTCTGTAAACATCCATTATAAACAGATTACAGATACATGACAGAGCTACAAAGAACAATGTAAAAAAAATAATCTCTAACTTTATGTTGACCTTCTGTGCGTTTTAATGTAATTTAGGTGTCTGTTAGCCAAAACACACCTAATTTCAGAAACGCATAATTAATGTTTAAAACCTATGCAAAGTTATTTCGCCAATTACATTGCTTTAACTCGAACGGTTTGTTTTTTCAGTCTGGAAAGGCAAATATAAGGTTCATAGGATGTCTGTTCTTTCAGCATTGCAGCTCCCACTTAGCCTATCCCATAATTTACTAAAAAAAGAAAAAAATAAATGCACATACAGTGAAATTGTTTCTTTCAGACACAACGTCCAGATTCCTTAAAAAAAAAAAGCCCCACAACTTTCCTCTCCAAACTAAATAAAAGCACTCATGCTTTTATTTAGTTTGCTGCTTCCATGCGAGGTTGTGTGCGTCATAATTGTAAATGCGCCCATAAAGAAGGTTAACTGTTCAAAGTTGCATTGTAAACTTTTGCGGTGCAAAGCTAACGTAAAGAGATTTATTTTTTCTGCCTTAACTATTTGTGCACATTTGAGACCCAGTTTTACCCAGAGTCATAGAAAAGTCGATATTTTGTTCTTCGCAGGAGAATGTTCCCCAGCTTCAAGGTGAAAGTGACTGGATTAAACCCCAAAACGAAGTACATTCTTCTGATGGACGTGGTTCCTGCGGACGATCATCGATACAAATTTGCCGACAATAAATGGTGGGTTAAAAAAAAAAGAAAAAGAAATAAATAAACTGAATGCAAATGAAACTTTTAGGGGGGAAAAAAACATTTTTCCTCCCATGTCCCATTATCTGGAGTGGACTTCAGCAGGAAATTTTTATGTTGTCCTGATGGACGAGAATCGGAAGCGACCGTATAATTTCCTGCAGAATTATGACCTGCCTGTTTTCTAATGGTTGCCAAGAATTACAGTCAACATGACTGACGTGTTTCAGTTGGAGCTGATTTTTTTATTTTCTTTTTCCTTTGAGATAGGTCTCATGCTGATGAGTTTTCCTACAGTTGCAGTGGCCCTTTGCAGAAGTTCTGTTTAGCTTTTACCCCTATGATCTCCGACCTTAAAAGGCAGGAGCACCTTGTTTGGGTCAATGCCTTTAAAAGAGCGGAGACTCGGAGAGGATAATCACATGCCAGTACTGCAGATAATGAGCCGAGCAAAACAATGTGTGGAAATAATTGTTACACATGTCCGTGAATTGCAGAAAATCGGTGGTCGCTTTATTTGTGTTAGCAGTATTTAACAATAAAACGTGCAAAAATGCTGAGAAAAATTGCGCGCACAGCTGCGGAAATTGTTAAACGTGCCATTTTTAGGTCTGCATTTTCAAGCCCTCAATTAAATTTATGAAAAGCTTTAATTTCAGATGGCAGTCTGTAAAACATGCAAATCATGCACCACCTTTTCCAGTCCATTAGCTGCCCTTCTACTGCTTGCACCTCTTGCTTTAACCAGTTGCGCATGTGTTGCCGTCCCTGTGCGTCAGGTCTGTGACCGGGAAAGCAGAGCCCGCTATGCCCGGGAGGCTCTACGTCCATCCGGACTCACCGGCCACGGGGGCGCACTGGATGAGGCAGCTGGTCTCCTTCCAGAAGCTGAAGCTGACCAACAACCACTTGGACCCGTTCGGACACGTAGGTGCCTGGGCCTATAATCATTCTGCTAAAGCTGTGAGCGGAGACGCGCAGAGGCATGTGCGCTGTGTGGATGCGGTTTTTGCGTCGCGGTGTTGTTGCATTCATCCAAAGGTATTGTCGTTTTGTCACCGGGAGGTTTTCACTGCTGCTGCTGCTGGAAGAATGTGGTTTATGGAATCCAGAAGACTGTAATTGTTTTGTGCAAAATTGGATGATAAGTTTGTTTATTATTATTATTATTATTATTATTATTATTATTATTATTATTATTATTATTACGTTTTGTATTTTCCATTGCAATTAAAAAAATATTTCGTTTTATACATTCAACATATATGATAATGATATTAGGTCGATTATCGGTTAATTATTTTCAAAAATAGATCGACCAATGAAGATTGAATTTGTTATTAGACCACACCCATGCAACTTTTACTTTAACCTTTTTTTATTTTCACACCAAACAAACTTCTATAAGTCCTCTATTTTTAGAAGACCATCTTCCTTGAATTAATTACACATTTAGATTTTTCTGCCATTTTATAATTCTCGCATTCTCTTGTCTTTTCTGCAACTTTATCGATATTTTATGTTTCAAAGAAAAATACATATAAATGCACTTGAAGAATTAATTTTACTTTTACTAAAAGGCGTCTAATTTTCTTATTTTAATCTAGATAAAACCAAAAGTGATGATTATTATTTGTAACTACCAAACAAGTAAAATATTTGAAATGTTTATGTATATTTATAATTTTATTTTCCAAGTAAGTTTGAACTAAAATACTAAGTTTTCGTTTTATAGTTACATTAGTCTTCTTTTTTTTTTTTTAATCATACACTTTGGATCCGTTTACCCAAGTTCTCCACAAAAAAAAATGCATCCAGTTGTCAACATGAATTTTTGTACGTGCAATTTAATGGTAAATGGTTACATTTAGGGATTTAAAAGTATATAGTTGCACTTTCTGAGCAAGAAAAAGAAAAAAACATACTGAGCCAGAGTTTCTGTACCTGGTGCTCATTTTCTAACCTTTAATTTCTCATTATGGTTTGCATCTGGCTTTGAAATTTATTCGTCCCTACCTACCCTTACAATAAAAGCAAAAGCAACATCTTTTACTTTTACTTCATGAACAAAGTGTGCTGCTGGCAGCAGGTTTTCATGAAAGGCTGAGTTGATGGGTAGACTGAGGCCCAATTACCTTTCTTGTTAGAAGTCACTCAATTACGGACATTTTTGTCAGGAACAGGCTGTGCTAAGAACGGCTGTAATAAGATGCATTGCTGCTATTAAAAAGAAGAACAGAAGACTAAATAAGCTTATTAAAATTCTCAAGTAGTTCCAATCACAAGTGAGAGGCTCTGCATTGCATCTGCTGTTCTCTAAATGTTCCATTAGCGGACGCAAATAATGACTGAAGCGTAACAACATGTTCTAGTGCTATAACAGAATCTGACCGCACATGCGGCACCGTTTTCCAACATTCAGACCTGTTTTGAAGTCGAAACTGTTTTTAGTCCTTCAGTTACCAAAACAAATCATATTTCCACAAGCCAGAGTCAGTCCACGTGGTATCTATAGAGGTTGCTGCCCTGCCAAAACCCAGCTGGAGGACTGAGACTGGAGCTCATTGAGTCGTGTCGTACATTTTTTGGGGTTAAAGTGTGTTTCTTGATTGGTCACAGTGGTTCCTGACTTGCCTGCTTTCTCGGCACCGTGGGATCTATCACAGAAATGCTGGTGGCTTGCCAGAAAATGCACACTTTGTCAGCTTGTTGGTCCAGCTGGTTGAAATGGCTTAGAGATGTTTTATATTTACTTATAAAGACACATGAAGCCAAAACATATTCCTGATGTACAGATCAGGACAGACCTGTTCAGTCTTAAAGCTGAGGGGGTTTTTTTTTCCCTCTCTTTCTGGAAATGTTTCTTAAATTAGATAACTGGACTGATCAGAGCTGAGCTAATTGGCCTGAGTCTGATGATGCTAAATGGTTTGAATGTAGTTATTGTAGTCACTCTCAACATGAAGTTTAAGTCTTTGTTTCCAGAAAACTTTAAATGTTTAGTGTGATGAAAATGTTTTTGTTGGGTTTTTTTTTTGTTTTGTTTTGTTTTTTTTAGGAAGACCATTTTAATTTTTCTAGGTTGTTTTTAATATTGCAGGTTGAAAAGCAAAAGATTCATAATCTCATCATATTATTTTTATTATGTTTTTATTCCTGAAAAGGCATGCATGCCTTTTTTCCACAAAATTATACTCTTGATGATATGAAAGTTATACAAAGAAGCGCACAAATGTTACTTAAAATGTTTTGTGGCATTTCAAACTGTTCTTTCCTGTGAGATTTGTCACAACTATGGATGTCCTATAAAGGATGTTACAAAGGTCTGCATAAAGTTATCACATTCAGGCTTTGCAATGTCAAAATGCTGCTTTATTAAATAACAAAGCTGTTCTTTTGCATAACGCCTGAAGGCATTTTATTAGAAATGCTTTTTCTTGCTCCGTTACTGACAGGACCAGTGTTCTTCAGGAGCAATCACAGTTTGAAGTAACACTTTCCCTGTAGGGTTAGACTTTTTAAAAACCACTGCTCTCCAGTTTCACTGCATACAAGTACTTTTCCAATGTTGCTATTTCAGTGTTTGAATTCCTAAATATATATATATATATATATATATATTTGTCTCAAGTTTCATACCAAGCTGGACTCGTTTCCCCTTTGATCTCCCTCTCAGCTCCCAGAATACCTCTCGGCGTTATTAATCTCCTGCGCTCGCCTCTCTGCCTTCCCACACATGTTTGGGCCGGCCGGGTGGAGTGTGAGGACCGCACTGTTTACGTTTGAATGGCAGTGTGTGATGAGCAGTAGATGCTGGTGCACAAAGTCCACTGATCCCAAGGCTCGGGTGGGGATGGGAGTGGGGGAGGTGGGGCTGGACTTTCTGATGTCGAGGTACTTGAAAGCGAAGGGCAGCCGCACGAGACCCAAAGTGATCCCTCACTATCATTAAATAGTATCATCCAGAGGCTGAGTGGGGGTTGAGGGGTGAAGATACAGGAACCGATGCAGTGAGTAAAGGCCAGAGAGACGAGGCTTGAGCTGGGGTCCCAGTGGGTGGTCCACAAATACACCACAGCTCTTCCCACAGGAATGGAGATGCGACTTGTAATATCTTCACAGGAGTGATTTTTTTTATTTTTACATTGACTAAATGGATCAGAGAAGAAATTAGTATTGAATTCATAAAATGTTTGTTTTTTTTTTGTTCAGAAGGTTCTGTGCAGTTTTTGTCACTGTAAAGATGATTTAATTACTCCTTCAGCTGAAAGCAAGCAGGATCAAAGCTACTACCCTCACAGGTTCTCGCTAGGCGTCACTAGAAGGAGTTTGACCATTTCCTGCTAAGTAGCATGTTTCGCCCTGAAACGAGATCAGATTGGACTCTGCAGTGGACGACTATCAACAGTGAAAGCCCCTCTGAGCTGACTCGTGTCTGACTCACAGGGGATTTTCTTGGTGGAATGCTGCAGGATGCCTCCACTGTTACTGGAGGTCAGGGCAGGCCCTCGTCTCCTCGCATGCTGGCTGTGAGAGGCAGGAACAAAAACAATCCTTAAGATAAGAGATAGGGCGACATGCCTGCAGGTCACAGGAAGGTGGGGAGCGTTGTAGATGCAGAAAGAGCAAAGAAAGGAGGAGGATGCCCTAGTTTTTGTTTTTTAAATCCGAGGGAATTTGATCAGATTATGAAGAGCATTTCTCCTAGACTCATGGCCACGACTCGTTGATCAGTTAAAGAAGTCCGACTTGGGGTCCAAGCCGGACTGAATGATGGGGTGTTGAATGAAAAGTTCACTGCTCAAGTTCAGCTGTGAGCTCCGTCCTAATTGACTCGTTTCAGGACATTATCTGGGCTAGAACAAGAGAGAAGATGCTGTTATAGCATCATTGAGAATAATCTATCTAGACTTTTAAAGACACATTATTATTATTATTATTATTATTATTAAAGATAAGGCGACTCATTAATTTGTACTATATTTTAAATTCTGTGTGAATGAAATGAATTTGTTTTGTCCTTATTGAAAGAAGATAATGGTTTTGTGTGTATTAAATCCTATCAATTCATTTTGTCCACAAAAGCTTTTTATATGTAAATGTATTAGTTTTTAGTTCTTTTCATTTATTTTAATCAATTTTATACCAAAAAAAAAATTTTCATTCTGTGAATTTGTGGTCCAGAAAGTCATTCATTTATTGCAACACGTTTTTAAATTAGACAAGAAAAGAAAAAAGTGCCGTTCATAAGGTTTATATAGGCAATATGTTAGCTATTACACCTTCAAAATAAGAGAAATCGAGGCAATTTCAGCCAGGATAGTCTGACTAACGGGGTTTTAGTATCGATAGTCCTACGTCTATTTTTAATTTCACAAAAAAAAATTTGACGAAGCCATCACTTAAATCCGTTTTTCTTTGCAAAAGGCCGAGGCCAGGTTACCAAGAGTTGTTTACCATTTAATGATATTAATGTTCTACAGCCACACATTGTCACGCAAAAAAAAAAAAAAAAAAAAAAAAAAAAAAAAAAAAAAAAATAAAACCCTCTGTTTATTCCAGATCATCCTCAACTCGATGCACAAGTACCAGCCGAGGATTCACATTGTGAAAGCGGATGAAAATAACGGCTTTGGCTCCAAAAACACGGCCTTCTGCACTCACGTTTTCCCGGAGACAGCGTTCATTGCGGTCACTTCTTACCAGAACCACAAGGTAGAGGCCCTCCTTTTGGATATTTTCGTTTGCAGTTTCTCATATGGTAAACAGCTCTCTTTTTTTAGTTGCTTCATGTTTTTACGTGTTTCAAACGGCAGAGTTGTTGTTGTTTTTATTATTATTATAATTAAAATAACCCCCAGATTTGAGTGCAAAGTTGTGTGCAGGATTCACGTCAGCGTGAGGTTATAAAAACGTGTGTTTTCAAACTGTAAAGGTTTGGGGTAAATTCTTAGCAGCGTGCTGCGCAGAGTGTGCGCACGGACCGAAAGAGAGAACATGAAAGTTTCACAGCCAGCTGAAAAGTCGCTGATATCACAACGAGTCACTGACAGACGACGAAAAAATAAAAAAAACTTCAGAAAGAAGATCGGAGGATAAATGACCTCAAGCAACTTTTAGAAAAGTTGCAGCTCTTTGTGGAGAAAGACGAGCTGCAGAAGATGCGGATAAATCTCAAGCAGATTTCCCTGCAGCCAACCTTTAATTTATTATTATTATTATTATTATTATTACTATTATTGCTGCTGCTGCTGCTGCTATGTGAAGTTTGTCATTATTTTCAGTTTATTTTAACCGGTTATTATAGCAATGTACGTAATATTTATTTTATGTTGGGTTCATATGCGCCACTCAAACTTACATTCATTTCAATTCAGTTTGTCATTTTGTTTGATTTAATTTTATTTCAATACTTTGGGTATTTTTATTTTTGTTTTTTTACTTTTCAGTTTATTTAGCGTTTGAAGCCCAAAACATTATTTTATGTTTTTAGATTACAAGTTTCTCTTCCACATTAGGGAGGAAAAAATAGATCGTATGGGAGATAAATGAGCAATTCTGTCTAGAAAAACTTGCTTCAAAATAAAAGAAAATATGTAAAACTTGTGAAGCAGAATTAACTGTCCGACAAAATAAAAATAAAAAAAGCATTGTAGATCTTTTAAGCTTTATATCTCGCTTGTATTTTATTTCTAAAATTGCAACTTCAAAAATATTTAACTTTTTAGTTTTCTTGGTTGTTTCCTGAACTTCTGTTGTTTAATTCGTAAATTGACCTGTAGTTGTGTACTTAATTTCAGTGTTTATAAACTAAACAAAAACTGGAACAATCTATTGTTTTCCTTATATTAACTGTTTGGAAAATGATAGCTAAACGGTGACACATTGGGCATAAATAAATAAATTTCTCGAGACTTTTCAGGCCAGAATCTAAAGCTGAGCATCTACTTTGTCCAGATTTTCTGGGGGGAAAGAAAGTCTTGGCGGTGTAAATATATGTAAACAGCGTCTGGTCAGGATCATTTTAGCCATGAGGGCCTATATATGTTTCTTGTTTGGGGAATAATGGAGAAAGGGAGAGAACACGCAAAGGGTCCCTGCAGCCAATCAGAAGCCTCTGCGCCTCTGGGAACAGGAAGCCCAAAATGACCGGCTCTCTGTAGAAACCATTCATTATTTTTAAGCACGTTATTGGGAGAGCTGGGATCGTAACCCCAGGGCTAATTATTGAGGCTCTTTCCAGACCTGCAAAGGAAAAAAAAAAAAGAAAGAAAACAAGCATTTCTGATTTCGGAGCGTTTTACCACAACGGTCTAATCAAACAGTTAAACATCTGCAGGAGCATTAAGCGCTGCAGGCGCGTCTCCAATTCACCTGTTGGACTTTTAGTTAATAAAACAGTGTCCAATTTCCAGACTTTTCTGCAATTAAAACATTTTTTCCCAACTGAGTTTTCTTAGGTAATGTTTTCTGTTCATAGAGGAATTTATTACAGCGTTTGCAGACATTTTATTATTATTTTTGGCTAAAATAGCATCTGAAATAAAGCAACGATTGTTTTAATAAGCAAAGCTTAGACATGTAGCCTATAAAACGACATTCTTTGAACTTGACCATGTATGATTATCTTGAGTTTAATTTGATCTTTTTCTAGGGTTAAAATTTATGGAAAATGTTGAACATTTTTCTAATTAAATAATATTGTCGAAGTGAGTTTATCTGCATTAATCAGGAGGAAGGCAAAGGAAATTGCAAATTTTTTACTCTTTAGTTTGAAAATCATGAAATAATATATAAATCATCTGCCTGTCTGCCTGCATTAATTAACAACCAGCTAGTAAAGTGTCACATGACGGATTTTACAAGGTTCAGAGTAGGTGTTGGCCAACATGCATACAAACCTCCAGTCCTGTCAGAAAGCTGGAAATACACCAGAACCGCCAACTCATTACCTGCAAGAAACCATGACAGGGATATCCCTGCATTCTGCTTTAAACCTGAAGAGCTTGGATTTATATTTTTAAAATAAGTTTGCATCTTTTTTGGTTGCAGAGCAAGGCATTCCTGCCAGAACTTGAGGTATTTTAAATATTTGCATTTCTAAAGCTTTTTCAAGACAATGTTCAGCATTATAGAATAAGTCATGCAATAAAAATATGACCTGCTGAGATACAGCTTTATTGAACTAAAGGCGTGTGTAGGACCTCCAGACCATCTTTCTGCAACTGCCGTTTTTCTCTCTTTGCTTCTGAAAAGTTAGAAACATCCGCCAAGTATTTAAATCTCTTAAACCTTTTCAGAATTGTATCATATTACAACTACAAATTTGTGAAAGAAAAAATTATATCTGGTTTTTAATTATGATTACACCCAAAAATAAAGACAATCCAACCCAGACGTCACCTAGTTATTGTACAGAGTTGTGCTGAACGTAATTTAAGCCCCAGTACAAAACACACCAGACAGGCCACAACTGCAAAACTTTACCAAGACATGGCTGTCCATCAGGCAAAAAGAGCATCAAAGAAACAGTAACTATGCAGAGATCCAAAGTTTGACGGACAAATCTGTCAGCGGCCCAACAACTAGCTGTACACTTCATAAATCTGGCCTTTAAGAGTAGCATTAGGAAAACAATTTTTTGAGAGAAATCCAGAAGTCCTATTCCAAGTTTGCCACAAGCCACACAGGGGACGAGACACGTAGCAGGAAGGTGATCAGGTCCGATGAGATAAACTTGGTTTTTGCCTTTTCCCAGGAGGAAAACTGCACATTGCTCTGAACACTTATCCTAAAAGGTGAAAGCTTCCCCTCAGCTTATCAATTATTAGTGGGCTGTTAATCACCAATAACATACATGACCGTTTCTGGTGGCAACAAGACAATAAGTGGAGAATTTAAATGAGTGAAGCCTAATTGCAAATTTACAACTCAAGTTGAAGTCTGGAATCTACTGCTAAGTTGCATTTCTAAAATCACATCAATTTGTTATAAATTCGGCTTTGACTTCTATTATGAGACCTGAGACTCTTATTTTATTCTTTTTTTCTTTTTTTTATTAATGCAAAGTCTGTTTGCGGTTTCAGATCACACAACTAAAGATTGAGAACAACCCGTTTGCAAAAGGCTTTCGTGGAAGCGATGACATGGAATTACACCGGATGTCCAGACTGCAAAGGTAGCTGCAGCCGGGATGCTATTTTGTTCATTTTAAAAAGAAGTTCCCTTGAAAATCCTTGATCTTTAATATTTGGAAATTCTTACACATGCAGAATGATGTCAAATGAGCAGATAAATGTCACTTTAGTTCAGCCGGAATCAGAATGTCACATAACAAGCCCCACTTTAATCCTTCAGTCACCGACTTCCAAGCCAGTAATGAGTGTAACTTTCAGTGAGTGTTATTTTCAGTGATGTAAGTGTAGTTCTTGATCATTAGCCAGCTTTCATGGTGAAGACTTTTATGACTGATCTGGCAGAACCTCTGAAACAAGACTGTAACATCTCTCTTCCACAGAGATTTATTTATTTTTTTTTGTTCTTTTAACTGAACTGCTTTTGTGTCTGCTGTGTGTATGCTTGCGTGTGTGTGTTTGTGTGTTGTACTGGTGAATATCGCTCGGTCAGGCAGCCAAGGCGGTACGCGGCCACTTTGCTCTCTATTATTCAGTCCAGATGAGGGATGGAGCTGGAGTCCGTGCTGTGCAGAGAAACACTTTTTCAAAGGGGAAAATCTGGTTTTGAAAAACCCCCCATCACCCTGGTTTTTGGGGGAGAAACTGAAGGGCTTTCCAAGTGGAGAAATCCCAAATCAGACAAAACCTGGAAAGTTGTTTGTCTTTTTCCAGGAGGTGTTGTAATCCTACATCCGTTGCAGTGAATGCTTGACTGAGTTACGGCACACTGAGATAGATTTTAGCTCAATATCAGCAAGGAAAAAAAATGGGAGAATTAAAAAAATAAAAGTCTGTATTTTCATGTGAAAATATGCACATTAAGTTACTTTAAGTAGGTGTGCAATAACTGCAAATCCAAAAAGTGATAAGAATGTAAGCCACTATCAGTCTTACATGAATTTGCTCAGCCTTTGCAGTAAGCATTGCACGTCTGCTTCTGGTTACTCTAAAGAGAGAGCTTATTGAAAACCAGGTCACTTTTCAACTGATGCTACACCAAAAATTAAAGAACCAAAAAGCTGCACAATGATGCAACAATGAATTCTGTGAATTATTCTGAGTGAAAATCATTTATTAGTAGAAGGGGCATTTTTTCCCCACAGAAGCATCTCTGTTTCCAGATTGTCCTTTTCATACTAATCATCTAGTGGATTGAACCTTTCAGTTGCCGTCTTTTACTGAGCCTGTTTGGCACATACAGATGATTACTAATAAATTTCCTGTGCACGCACACAGCACCAAAGAGTACCCAGTAGTGCCTCGCAGCACGGTGCGACAGAGGGTCGGCTCCAGCCACAGTCCGTTCAGCGGGGACGTCCAGGGCATGGCCACACCCAGCACCCTGAGCTCCCAGTACTCCCAGTGTGAAAACGGGGTCACAAGCACCTCCCAGGACTTGCTGCCCCAGTCTGGCTCCTACCCACTGCCACATGAGCACGGACAAGATTACTGCATCAAGAGAAAAGGTATGAGACTGTGCGGTGATATGAGCCATGCAGGGATTACATTAAAACATTCAGGGGTTACAAGAGGTTTTATCTATTGTGCAACAGCAAGATCCATGAAAGAGATAATTGTGACAGTTCCAGGTATCTTTAAAAGGCCCTGACAAACAGGTCCATTCAAAAAAATATTCAAAACCTCCCAAGAGCCTGTGTACCCTATGAACTTTTTGCATATTGTCACAAACTTCTAGGTGTCATTTCTAACATTTGATTATCTAAAAAACCTCTTAATAATTATGTAAATGCAAATTAATCAACTGCTCTGTCTGCTAACCAAACCATAAAGTAATCATTTTCCCACTATGCTAATGACATCCAACAAACTGCAAAGGGTTAAAAAAAAAAAGCATTTGTAAAGGCTGAACATGCCACCTGCCACAGTGAGAGTCATAATCCCCAAATGGAGAAGACATGGAAGGCGGTGAGCCTTCCCAGTAGTGATCAGCCTACCTTACTCAAAAAGCATAAATAAGACTGATCCAGGAGTTCACAGAAAGAAAAAAAAAACTGAATATTAAAAGCCTGGAGTGTCTTGCTTAAGTCTCAGTTAAGGTCAGTGTTTATTATTCAACATTAAGGAAGATATTTTGTATCTGTGGGAGGCCCTTCTTGAATAACAAAGTTGTTTGCTTCTTTAATTTTACCAACAGCGGATGATGACTGTCATTCAGGCGAACACGGCTATAAGAAGCCGTACCTGGAAAGTTCTTCCAGCGAGGAGGACCACTACTATCGTCCCGTTGGCTACCACCAGAGCCTCAGCCTTGCCAGCGGGGCCTACCGCAGCGAGTCCAGCCAGCGGCAGGCCTGTATGTATGCCAGCTCCTCGCAAGGCGCAGAACCTGTTCCCAGTTTGGAGGACATCAGCTGCAACACGTGGGCCAGCGTCTCTCCTTATGGCAGTTGTTCTGTCACCACCATGCAGCCGATGGAGAGGCTCCCCTATCAGCATTTTTCCGCTCACTTCACCTCAGGGTCTCTGGTGTCCAGACTGGGAGGGGTGGGGGGCCACGCCTCTCCACAGCTGGCCGAGGGCCACCATGCAGCGATGTACCAGAGCTCCATGGCCCACCAGACTCTGGGCCGCCAGTGCAGTCCTGGAGCTGGGATCCAGTCGCCGACAGCTGGCTTACAGGGAAACGAGTACCTCTATGCACACGGCATACCACGCACTCTCTCGCCACACCAGTATCACTCTGTACATAGTGTAAGCATCATGCCAGAGTGGAGTGAGAACAGCTAAGAATCGAACAACTGCACACATTGAAGAGGAAACAAAAGAAAATGGACCAACTAAAGCAACATTGGGTCAGTTATATTTATATTTCCAAGGACTTGTTGCAGTTAATCTTAAAAGGAACAATATTTCTTCATTGAGGAAAGTTGATATTCGTTGGGTGATTTACCAGGAGATGAGTGGGCGTCTTATCTAGTAGGACGTTTTAGCAGAATCTGCACTTATAAAGAAGCAACGTGAACACAAACAAACATTGGGCTGGACCAGAACACTCATGAAGCCTGCTCAAGTGCAGGGAAAGCTGACACTGAACAGAGCAGAAATGCTTCAGATGCTTGGCCAGGAGGCTCCAGGTTGAAGGTGTTTTTCTGCAGCGTTTTGTTTTGAATGATAGCAGAAAGCTGTTGTATTTCCTGAATGTTTGTCCTTTCTCATGTTTTCCCTACCAGACAGTTTCTATGACATTTTTGTAGCAGATTTACGTTGTAAAAAAAGAAAATCTAAAGACAGGGCTTAATGTCAGTTTTGTTGTGGCTCTTTGGTCAATGTGGCTTTTCTTTAAATCAGGAAGATGGTTTTATTTGCTTATAGGTAGATTCATTTATTTGCATTCAAGTCAAATACCTCATATCAATTTTATTAGGTTTGTGAGACAATACCTTGTAAACATATACATAGCTCTTAAATATTTTCACAATTCACTGCAGTGTATTTATTGGGATTTTTATGAATAACCCAATGAAAAGTAGTGCATAATTATGAAAGTGTCATAAAAGTGATGCATGGTTTTCAAGATGATTTGCATACATAAAGCTGACACATGTGGAGTATGTAATCATTAGGAGCAATTTCTTTGCACACCCAGACTGAATCTGATTGCTTAAATAGCTTAATCACAATTAAATTAGATCTTCAAGGAGAAGGCCTCACTTTTCTTTTTTTAATTAAAAAACATACGTCAAATGTAGCGTCATTATTTGACTTTACATGTTTTGGAATAAACATGGAATGCTTCGAGTATTCAGATTTCCGTAGAAGTGTGATCTTTAATTTCAGGATCAACAATGGGAAAGGTTGTTGGATTTTTGTAGGTTAACAATTTCCAGGCTAACAAATATCCTCACCCCCATGAGATGATGTTCGGGGTGATCCGTTTTCCACCTCACCTAGAGTTTTTCTGTAAGACATGCATGTATCCCCTACATGTCTTGTGTAAACAGGAATGTACCAATAGGACTTCTTGTGGTTTTCTTTCTCCAATGGCTTTCTTGGAACTCTCCCATAAAGGCCATATTTGAAGAATCCACATGTCAGATTCTCAAAGCTAAACTGTGGACCTCTTTAGCTATCCTTGAGTTAGTTAAAGGGATAGTCGACTCCCTTTAGCTATCCTTTAATTTTCTCCCCGTCCAGTCTGTTGATTTAGTTGGACGGATATGCCTTTGTGAGTTTGCAGTTGTGCCATAGTCTTGATGATGAATTGAACTATGTTCCAGAAGTTTTTTTTTAAATCTTGGGACATTGTTTATCACAACCCTGCTTGAAACCTGACAGGTGTGTGAAGGGTTTTCTTCAATCTGTCCATGTAATTTATACAAGTTGAATTTTTAAATGAAGCCATGTATCTTTTCTTGTTCACTCCACAATTATGCACAACTTTATTTTTATTCAAACCCAGAAAATCCCAATGAAATACTCAGTGGCTGTTTCACCAATGAAGAAAAGTTCAAAGCGTTTTAATAGTTGTCGTCGCAGAGGCCTTTACCACACCTATTGCTGCCGAGTGCATTCAAGATGTGATAAGCATCTCAATATCATGCCGACTCTCTCCCAATCATATTTTAGGTAAAGCTACATTATGGCACCTATTTTTTGTGCATGAAATTAGATTAAATTAGGATTTCTTTTTAGTTTTTTTTTTCTTGCTCCAGTAATTACCCCAATATTCAGCCATCTTCTATTCTTAGTGTTCATTGAGCTACTTCAATCTTAGGACTGCCATTGCAGCGTTAGTGGAGTATGATTTTTATGTGATTGTGTCAAACTGTCTTTTGCAGTAAATATGTAAGCTATATGCATTCTATGCATACTTTACCGACCTTTCACCAGAACCCTACTATAAAACTTAACTAGCCCTTTAAAAACTTTAAAAAAAAAGTTAAATAAATGAAGGATTTAACTTATCACATTTTGAAACACTAGATTTATTTCTGAATGATGGTTGGTATGACAACAAATTGCTGCTCTTAATAATAAATAGCTAAATAGAGTCAGGTTGACCAAGATGGTCCTCATGTTGAGATGTAATGATACATGCAATGAAGCTGTTACTGCAGGAAGAAGACGCAGACTTGATGTGCAACATTTTGCATCGGTGAGGAGTTTAAATATTAAATCAGAAAAAGCAAAAAGATCTAAGAAAATATTTGAAAGGAACCTTCTACAATAATTAATTTTTTCAGGACGCAAAAGAACAAGAGCTTCAGTAGATAACAGGAAAGCTGAATGGGTTATAACAACTCGGATCATTTTGGGTTAAAATTTTCTTAGGAGTATGCAAGGAAACTGCTGTCTTTGTAATGCTAATTGTGCTAAACATCTAGATTCCTAATATAAGAAGCAACACATTAATCCCATCATTTTCGTTGACAGTGACGCTAGTTTTGGAAAGTCCAGGAATCACCAACTGACTCCATGATTTTAATTGTAAGTGTTATTATGGGGTCTGCAAAGAACATTTAAATATTGTGCATCCTAAAGAAATACAACTCTTCGTAACCTGCTCCCATTGCATTTGGAAAAGGATGACTGGAAACACTCTAAAAATACCACTTTAGTTGGAGTACCCCAAATTTAAGAAGAATATAAAAAAGTTTTAGAATCCCATTTGGATTCAAATTAAATTTTACGAGGATAAATCATATTGAATAAAAAAAAAACAATCTTAACATTACAAGCTCTTGTTCAAAGGCAGCTTAGTTCCTTAGAGCTTTCCATTAAGAAAGATACAAAAAAACTATTTGCTTTGATTTCAGGACATAATACTGTTGAAATATTTTAAATCAAATGCCAGTAGCTGCACATACATTTAGATTAGCATTTATTTTCTTCTTTGTATGTTATGGCCAACAGAAACATAGTGTGGACAACATCAAGCTTTCAGATTCTGTGACTGGATATTGTATGTTTATACAGGCCCATGATGTACCAGGTAATTGTGTTTTTTTTAAATATTTCACATCCAACATCAGAAAATTCCCTTCAGATAAAGATGAAAAATAGAATTTTAACCTGAACTTAACATGGAGCAAAAAATTTGCTTCATATTTGTGATGAGTATGTTGGAGAGATTTTTTTTTACATGTGGAGGAAGGCTAAATCTCAAGTGCTTGTAGTTAATAGCATTTTTTGTCAATAGTATTTATTTTTGTAACTCCGCAAATCTACCTTCTTTGCCAGGTTTAAAGAGGGTTGGCCCAGTTTATTTTTTTTATAGTCCACTTTTTATGATTGTACAGGATTTTCTAATCATACTTATATAGAACATAGGAAATTACTATACAGCTGTCAAGAAGTATCCAAGACTGAACAAATGAGAACATACCTAACTTTGTAAATAAGCATGTAAATAGCAAAATACCTGCAATAAATGTAAAAATTTAAAGCATTTTGGAGAAGTTCTTTTTACTCTATTGTAGTTGTTTTATTGAAAGGGGAAACCTATTGAGTGATACTCAGCATTTTATTGAAGAATTAAGAAATCACTTGTTTTATACTACAAATTAAATATTTCCAACAAATTTGGATAATAAGCTAGATATGTTTAGCCTGTAGCCTAATATGTAAATTTGATGTCAGCAGTTATACACAGGCATTGAGTCACCTAGTATATTTTATATTGAGTATTTGTTTGGGGATGTCCAATGAGTTATTTTCTAGAATCTACCTTAATATTACTGTAAGGAAATGTGGTTATGATGTTCCCATAAACAATAAAAACATTTGGTAACACTTTATTTGAAGGGGGTTGAATAAGACTGTCATGTCACCGTCATAAACATGACATAACATGTCATGAACATGAATAAGCCTTCATGAATATTTATAACTGTTGTCATAAAGCGTCATTCGGTAAATAATGACACTTTTAATACAAAGTTGACATTATTCAAAATGTCGTTATGACAACTTGACATTAACCAAGAAATCATTACTGATATAAATTTGTTATAAAAGTATTACTGATTGCACTTTAAAAATTAGGTAACTTTATGTTATTAAAGGTAAAGTTTGAACAGTAATGATTTTCTGGTTAATGTCAAGTTGTCATAACAAAGACATTTTGAATGTCAACTTTGTATTAAAAGTGTCATAATTTACCGAATGACGCTTTATGACAACAGTCATAAATATTCATGACAGTCTTATTCAACCCCCTTCAAATAAAGTGTTACCAAACATTTTTATTTTGCCAGATTCTGTTGAGGAAATCCATTATTCATAACCTTACTGTGTGAAAGTCGTTAATGGAAAAAACAAATACATCATGATATAGTTGGTGTCTTTAAACATCACACTGGGATAGTACAGACATGTTAAGAATACAGAAGGCCTTAGACATGAAGAATTGAACAAAAGGTCACACGTGAAGTTGAAATGTTTACATGAACCTTGAAAATAGCTCAATTTTGCGCGATCTCGCCATGTTATCCTCCCCATTCCTTTGTTTTTACACTTCTATTTCTCCGTCTCTGCCTCTTCATCTCTAATCCTCCCTGTGATCCTGCCCCCAATCCCTCCGCTCTCTCCACTGCCCCATGGCCAAACACGATGACCCAGACTCCCTGCCTCCTTTGATGTGAGTGATGTGACCCCTGCTCTGCAGATGCCCCCACACCGCCAGCCTTATCCTCTCTTTGAGAGCCAGTACAGCCCACAGAGAGGTCCAGTCATTAACCCTGTACAGCCATCCACTGCTTAAACACATGATGCATCGCAACCCGCCCCCCTTACGTCCCCCTAAGATTCACCCAAACATGCATGTGTGGGCGAGAACCGATGATGCAACAGGCTCTTTAAACATTTTAAGAACGGGTCAGCCTTTCAAAGGGAGGAGCTGGAACCTTTGGCCACTGCTTCAGTTATCATGGTCAGTGGTGGACCGTCTGGTGATATGTCAGAAAGAAAACAAATGAACGTTTAATGACCAAAAAAGCCTGGATAATGAATGAAACATTCCATTTATTTGGATTATGAGTGTATATATTTTGCCATTCCAGAACTGATGGAACATAAAAAATAAAATAAAATCAAGCCTTTTATCCACAAATGCAGAAATAAAATGTTTACAAATAAACTAAATAAGTCATATCTGTGTTATTTGTGTTATCAATAAGTGTCTAAGTCATATCTGGTGACTCAGTACTTTTTTTTCTTTTTTTTTTTTTTTTT